CTACACTTCGCATCTGTCTGTGTTTCAGTTCTCCTAGTATAAAAGTGTAAAAGTTCTAAATCAGAAATTAAAGGTCTGACACTAAAATGCCTTCCTAAAACCTCATGGAAGGTTATTCAAAGGGGGGGAAATGCCATTTGGGGGGAAAATCAGAGTCCTGCCTGTTCTGATAAGTAAAGGCACGGATTGACCAGTGGTAAACAACAGAAAAGCCAATTTACTACATGTATAAAGGTTGTTTTATTAGCCACTTTAAACACACGCTTTATATGAATTTCCAAACCATCCAATATACAGACTTTAGGGAACAACAGAATGTACAGAAGTACTTTTTCCCCTCTTAACCCCACTATTCATGGCAAGAAAAGAAAATGAGAAGCTTAGTAAAGATTACTACAATTTAAATCAGCATGAGGGAACTTTATCCTATTTCATAATACTACAACAGGTGACATGCAGTACAGTTGCAATCCTGAAACAACCAAATTTAGTGCATGGACACTCATCTTAATTTTGGCTCAAATACTTTTATTTATTCAACCACTTATAGCCTAACTCTGAGCTATTAGGATAATATTTCTATACTTTTACACTGCACATGTGATATGACCAGTTTCTACAACTAAGAAAAGTCAGAATAAGAAGCAATTTAGACTTGTCAATAAGAGAATAAGCAAATAGTTTCTTAATTAAATGGAGCTTGTTTTTCTTAAGAATGTGCTTAAGCATCCAGGTTGCTGGAATATCTTCCAGAAACGTGACTTTGAAGAAGACAGCTTGCTACTGTTTTTCCTGGCTACACTACAGAAAACAGCAAGATCTTCAGTTAGTGTACTTTCATATTTTTAGGGGGAAGAATTAAGTGCAGTAATTGTCAAGGAAAATAAATGTCAAGAAATACAAGATATCAAGCCCTTCAGAGTGACTAATATTAAATTTAAAGTAGAGCTTATCTTCACTGATCACAAAAAAGATATAACTTCAGTATGCCAGAAAAATAAAAAGCAATTTATTTAAGGGCTTAGGCTATAAAAGTTGTTTTTTTTAATATTATGAAGCACTAATACACACCAAAAAACAAAACAAAAAATTAACTTTAGTCATCACTAACATTTTTAGCTACACTCACTTATCCCCAATTTATTCCACTGTGTCCAGTGCACAAGTCTCAAGGTTTATTCACATTTTAAGGCACAGACTTAAAACACCTTAGGGGTTGGCTGCAAATTTGCAGAGAGCAGATTTCCACAGACTAGATGTTCCCTTTGAAAGAAAGAATATGATTTTCTATTAATCCTCTTCTCCCTGCTCCAAAAGGTTAGGACAGTTTCCATTACAGGGCAAGAGGCAACATTAGGAAGTGCTGGTGAAAGTGAAAATCAGAGTAACGTAATATCTCCTGTGACTATGGGACCATTTAATTGGCATCTGTGGGACAGCAAAACAGGATCAACATGCCCCTAAAAATATGAAGCATGAAAGCTACAGATATTATTTGCAAGCAGCTTCATCAATAAATAATGACTTGAAATCAATACTGGCTAACTCTTTTGACAATCCCACAATTAACATGCGAAAACAGAACTGAGTACATTCTTCAGCATTAAAAATAGGCTATTAAATGACCTTGATGAATTATATAGAACCACTCGTTTGCTGGTATTGCAGTATCTCCTTTCATAATCTGATACATACTTTTCCAAAACGAAGTATGCTTACCTAAAAGTTACCACTACTAAAGGGAAAATTCACCTGTGAATAAACATACTTTCAAAGTGATCATAAGGAAGTCATCTCTTATAATTAATATTCCCCCAATTCTTTTCCAATTACAAAATGTCTCAATCAGAGTAATATTTTGATTTATACTGCTACACATTCATATTCACACTGATAAAGTTAAAGAGCTCTTGTGTAAGAACTATTTCTGTTCCACACACACACTATAAGTTGAAACAGCATGGAAAATTAGATTACTCTTAAATGACACCCACTAATCAGCCAAATTTACAAGCATTTCTTTCTCTCTTGAAAATGTACACCCCAGTGGTTTGAAACTAAAGAACAGAGCACCACAATTATTGTTTGCGAATTACAGAAAGCATATATAGAAATAGTATTACAGTGGCACCTCGGGTCACGAACGCTTCTGTTCACGACCAATTCGGGTCATGAACAGCTCCGGTCGCAAAATTTTGCCTCCATTCGCGAACGCCGGATCGGGTCACGAACAGGATCCGCAGCCATTTTCCCTCCCGTGACACAGTCCACGGCCATTTTCCCGCCCGTGACACATGGTCCGCGGCCATTTTCCGCCCGACACGTGGTCCGCGGCCATTTTTCTGCCCCTGCCACGTGGTCCGCGGCCATTTTCCGCCCGACACGTGGTCCGCGGCCATTTTTCTGCCCCTGCCACGTGGTCCGCGGCCATTTTCCGCCCCTGACACGTGGTCGTAGGGAGGGGGACTCTCCCTCCAAGCAATAGCCACCTCCCTGTCCTCCACACCAGAACAGATTAATGGTAATTACATTGAACCTTATGGGAAAATTTGCTTCGGGTCACGACCAATTTGGGTCGCGACCAGAGTCGCGGAACAAATTAAGTTCGTGAACCGAAGTTCCACTGTATCTTGTATGCAAAGTGTGATTGAAGAAGACTAGTGAATTATTGCCTCTTAACTAAACTGCAGTGATAAACGACTGCCTTTGCTGATTTGCTCATTGCCTCTCATTTTTCATTATTACAATTTAACAATATCTAATAATTTTTAAACATGAAACATTGCATCTCATGACCATGAACCACATGTATACAGATTTTAGAAATTGTTTTAATATTCATTTTTTAAAAACATGCAATGAAGCATAGTTCCATTTGTTAGATACAAATTCATGACTATGACTAATGTTCCCTCAAATATATTGATTCGATGCATTCATTATCCACTAATATTCTAAAGCCAGAAACACAAGATCAGGTTTAATTTATAGTCACCAACTGAATAAAAACATTACTTGTATGTTTTATATACATCTCCAAAAATGAAAGAGCTAAGGATCTCGCTTTTTAAAATTAAACTGAACATTCAGGTAAGGTAATCTGAAACTCTTTCAGATCACTTTCTGACTGCAGTTCTGATCACACACTTTTGCTAATGGAATATACATACAATATGAAACAGCATGAAAGCAACTCTAGAAAGCGTACTTATTGCATAGCAAGTAGTTTTGCAGTGAACAAGGTCACCACCAATACAAATAATCCTCAAGAAAGCATAATTGGACCTGACCTTTTTGGACAATTTTCATCCTCTCTTCAACTTTCCCATTTTAGGGAAGGTTGTTGAGAAATAGTCAAAGTGCAGCTGCAGAGAGACCTGGAGGATGCCAATTATTTGGACCTCTTTCAGTTGAGTTTTAGGCCTTAGCATGGGACTGGAACAGCATTGACCGAACTTGTGGATGATTTCTGGTGGAAGCAGGATGGAAGTAGTACATCCATACTGGCTCTCCTTGATCTCTCAGTGACTTTCAAGTTTCAATCTTGTGCTGGTTCTCCTCCTTTCTTCCTCAGTCACCATTGATAGGGGAGGAGAGGATGAGCCCACACCCCATTTTGTGAGGTTCCTTAGGGTTCGACACTCCCTCCACTCCTCTTTGACATCCACATGAAGCCCGTGGGTGAGGTCATTTGATAGCACAAGGTGAGATATCATCAGTATACTGATGATAACCAGTCATATATCTCTGACACAAGCCAGCCAAGTGATGCAGTGGAGGTTCTCTCTCAGTGTCTGGAGGCTATGGGGGTCTGGATGGGAAAGAACAGGCTTCAGTTCAACTTATGCAAGACAGACTGGTTCTGAATTGAGGGCCTCCTGGATCTGGTGATGATCTATCTTTAGTTCTGGATGGGGTTGCACTGCCTTAGACAGAATTGGTGCACATTTGGGGGGGGTCTTCCTGGACTCATGACTCCTGTTCGAGGAACAGGTGGCAGCCATGGCCAGGGGGGCTTTTGCATAACTCCACAGTGTACCAATTGTGCCCATTTCTGGATCAGCTGGCACTGTGCACGGTCACCCATCACTAGTCATCTTCCAACTAGACTACTACAATACGGTCTACCTGAAACTGCCCTTGAAGAAGCTGCAATTGGTCCAGAATGCAGCAGCAAGAGCAATTATGGGCATCCCTCAGTATGCCCATGTTACACCTTTGCTTTGTGAGCTGCATTGGCTGCCAGCAATTCAAGTAACCTGGCTCCACACCCTTCATGGCATGAGGCCAGGTTACTTGAGGAACTGCCTCTCTCCAATTGTCTCTACCCATAGAGACAATTAAAGATCGATTAAGGAGTGTCATCTGGCAGGACCCAGGAAGTGTGCTATTTCTGCTAAGTCTGCTCTCTGGAAACCATTCCTCCTGAGATTAGATTAGCCTCAACCCTTCTGATCTTACTAAGCCCTTAAGATCTGGCTTCTCTTTTGGGAATAGGGTTGGGAGAGGTTTGAAACTGTGAGTTAAATGAATTTTTTGTTGATTGGGTTATCCCTGTTGCTATTTTTCTTTTGTTTTATATATCTGTTATTTATCATATCCTGTTACTGTATTGTACACAATATTTGTATTGTGTTAGCCGCCCAAAGCTGCTTATGTTCATGCACTGAATAGTAATAATGAAAGACAAAACTCTTTTAAGGTTAGCAACAATTTTTGAGTATCCAATCTTGTTTATTTTCCAGTAAAACAAAAATCTCAGGATGATTAACAACTAAATAACAACTTGTAAGATGGCAAAATACAGTTAAAATACATAATACATCTAACCAACAAATTTGAGCAGTAAATAGTTTACTCCCCCCACCAAATCCCTAATGGAACAGGTAAGCTTTACATGTCATCTAACAAAATACATGCAGTTAAGGTTGACACACTTATACTAGAGCTTAGGGGCACAGTTTAAAAGTAAAGCATAAATGACTGCAGAACATACTCACATGCAAGGCAGAAGGATCAGGTAAAAATTCAGCATCCTCTCCAAAGATAAAGTCAGGCGGCAACTCAGGATAGTGAGCATTAAAAATTATATCCCCTTAAAACAAGCAAACAAGTAAGAAAAATTATTTATCTATTCTCACAGAAAAAAGTCAAACTCTGACTTTGAACATAACACTACCAAGGTGAGCGCTTTCCCCTTCTCCAGTATCAGCTTCTGTACTTGCTTTGTTTTAAGAAGCCATGAATAATATTAATCACAGTTTGGACAAATGTTAAACTATGGCTAATATAAACTAGCAGGCAAAAGCTTCTGAACTTATCACAACTATGCCAGACTACAAAATGGGAAGCGGGTATGCCTAAGGCTTGTTGTGGCTTGTTCTTTTACTGCTAAAATTATTATTTATTGTTATTATTTATTGGATTTCTCCCCCACCCATCTCCCCCACAATAGGGGACTCTGGGCAACTTACAGAAAACATTAAAACTATAAGTATATCTAAAACACACAATACATCCAAAATTTAAAACAATATTAAAAAAGGAAGATCCAAGAAGATCTTGGATCAATCAAAATCGATCAAATCAAGTCACTTTGAAAAAGAATAAAATTTAAACACCTTAAAAAAAAAGTCATCATTCAACCTAGGAGATAAAGATATTCCTCAATTGTTTAAAATCAATTATGTTAAGGGACTCTTAAAAATGAAGTTTATCCTGATGAAACTATGATACAATTTAACATGAAACACCTATTTATTCACAAGATTAAGGTCTGCCTTTGAAAATCTATTTGGAAACAGCTGCTCGCCCAGAATGTAAAACTGTACTACTTATGTTCTGAAATAATGCATTGTTCTAAGCCATTTTTTAAAATTTTGGCTTTGCAGAATATGTAAATCTAGTCTTTATGGTTGTAAATAATGGTTTATGCAGGAGCTAGGCAATCATGTCTTATTCAAGAACCATGGTTGATATAAACAATGGTTTTATACACTCAAAGAACCCATCACACATTCCTGATTTGCCTGTAACCAGTTTTGCATTGTAAAAACTTTGCAGAACACCCACTTTGATCATTCTTTAAGCCCTTTCTTCATGTTCTGGAAAAAAAATACTAACTTCACTACAAAAAATAATAATAATAATGTTTCATCTACTGCTCCCACAAGATAGGCAGGCGCTTTCCTTTTAAAGAAAAGCAAATGCTATACTTGCTTTAAAAATTATTTGGAAGAGGTGCTTCAGAACAGACAGGAATGGAAATGCAGGATCTCTTTAAACAGTCACATCTTTTTATGGGCTTCTACATGACTCTGAAAAAATACATAGCTGCTTTAATGAGTCAACTCATTAAAATAGCCATGTATAATGGCTCTTTAATACAAGCAAGCAGCCATATAATTTTCAGGTTCATGTGGAAGCTTGAAAAAGATATGGTTATTTTAAAGAGATGCTACTTTCCAAAAGACCTCTTCCACATCATTTTCAAAACATGCACAGCCCTACCAGTTAGTAATTAATTTCAGTAAATGTTGCACTCTGTTGTAACAAACCATTGAGAATCTAGTTCTCTCATGGACTTTAAAAGAGTGGAACAAGTGACTATTTCTAAATATTATCAGTAAAAGACTGTACAGCTATGCCTTCAAAATGGCAATGATTAATGCACCAAAATACTTTACCTGAATTTGCAGCATGACAACTGTTATGATTGATAATCTACAAAAAAACTGTTTTCTTATAAAGAGGATGTAATAGTACCCACAAAGGAAGCATGCCCTCCTTCTCAGACCCATGGGCACATTTTTTTATTGCAACATTTTTGTGGCCTTCCTTCAATAAACTTGTTTTTACAAGATAACAGCCATACATCAAGAAACAGGATGTCTGAAGTTCCTGTATACAGCTCTCTTTCAGTGACTGTTTCACCTATGGCCATTATGAAACTTTTTTGCCGATTAACAGACATTTTTCTCTAAGTGCCTTTTTCACTATTAATTAGGAACTATACTATGCACACAGCTTTCAATCTCTATTGTTTCTATCTAGAAGTTGCCATATGTACCATTTTCTGGTGTATGTAATATGGATTTATATATTCATAAAGCCATAGCTCTAAAGAATGTCACAAATTATGCCACCAATATTAGAATTTTCCATTTTAAGTTCATTCTGAGATGTAAGTTAGCCAGCAATTTCCAATATATCACCCAGGCAATGATATGGATTAACAATGGTTTCTGCTTTCTCCTATATTAACCAAACACTTGTTTTGGTCATATTATTTGCAATGTATCTGTTTTAAAAACAATGTCACTGCAAATGATATACTCTGATTTAACAGAGAGATAGGAATTATAGACATCCCTTCACCTCAATTGGAAATTGAGGTTTCACTACCTTTATAGTTTTAAATATATCAAGAATTATTAAAATATTCAAATAGTTCTTGCATGCTTGATTTGACTTGTGTTTGTAACATAGTTCATATATGTGTATGTGTGTATGTTTTAAGAATTGCCTTGCCTTGCCAGCCCAACTCCTTTGGAATAGCAGCTTGCCAGCTCAACTGTTGTGCCACCTTGTGACTCATGCACATCTAGCAATCTGATCAAAAATTCCTTGAGATTTAAATTGGAATGCAATTTAGAACTTTAATAAGTTGTTCACCATAGAAGGTAGAAAAGATGAGGTACACTGCTCATCCTATCTGCTTTCTCTGAACTATGTTCCTTTCAAAACATTTAGATATATTCACAAAAGAATATAGAAATATAGGAGTAGAATCGTGTCCTAAAACATGTTCCTCAAAAGCTTACTAATTCATTTATTTATAGGTCACCTCAATCACCAAATAACTCTGGATGGCTTTACATACTAGGGTTAAATTATTAAAATATTCAAATAATTCTTGGGTGCTTGATTTCACTTGCAATTGTATAATGAAAATGGAACATTAAATCATTTTCAATTCCTTTCTATTGCACAGGGTTGGTAATCTTTTCAGAAGAAAAAAAAAGTAAGATATGGAATCTTGCAAGGTTTCCAAGCTTTCGGGATTCTCTTCTTCCAAGATTTCAGATGAAAACACTGAAATCTCAAGAGATTTGAAGATCTTGTGCTAGCCATCCACTGTAAAAAAAATGCTTGTTTTACATCAAACATTCTAATATATTTTCACATAAGATTTAAATGTTTCAGCTGTTATTTGCAAGAACATACTTTTAAATGTTATATCTAATATTTAAATACATAGGCAACAAGCTATATAGTACATGCTATATCTGATAGAACTGTAAAAAGTTGGATTTTAAAAAGAGGTAAACTTTTAGCTATTATAAAAATGCAGCATAAATAAATGAGTTTAAAGAACTGAGATATCCAAATCTAGGTCATAGTACTAGACAATATTCCCTTTTATGTATTCTCAATATCTACATTAATACAGATAAAAACAGAAATAAATTCTGTGGCAAGTATAGTTTACCAATTTATATTAGTATAATACACTTTTATATCTCTTGGTACAAAATATTTCATACCATACAAGACATTTGATACCCCAGAATGTTGCCCAATTGGCCCAGAGCAGATCCTATCAGTAAGTGGGAAGCAGGAAGATGCTAAACTGTCTTTCATAAAGTAAATACTAGATATAAAAAATGGTTCATATATGAGGCCCAAGGAAGTCACCCACGGTTGCCGTCTTGATCTTCAGGATGCCTTTCCTATTAATATAGATCTGGCTTACTTTGACTTTTTAGCTTTGTTTTGTTAACATTTATTAAATTTTCTTGGATGGATGAATGGTTCTTTCTAGATAAACTACCTACAGTATCCAGCTATCTTGCATAATTCATGAACACTAACTCCTTCAGCACATTTGGTCCTTTACAAACATCAGTCTGGTGTGTGTGTGTGTGTGTGTATGTGTGTGTGTGTGTGTACCATACTTCCATTTTACTGATTTCTCAATTTATTTTCTTTATGAAACATCTGACTTGCACAATTAACTACAAAAATCTCTAGAAAATATAATATACCAGATGTAAGCAGCAGAACAAACTCTAAAAGTGATAATCCACAAAACCAAATTCTACTACGCATGTAAGATACCATGCCACACATATGTTAGATGCTTCCACCACTGCTATACTAGATGCCTCCACCACTGATCTAATGAGTTATGATTGTAGTTTATGGGTGATTCTCTGGATTCATTTGTTTTCTCCTCCACTCTTAATAAAATTTTCTTAGTTTTGTTATCAGGCTAATGCATGTCTATGAATACAAGTGATGAACTTTGATCAAATGACTGTTACACAGAAGCAAAGATACTTGGCACTGTATAAAAACATTGCCACTGGAATGGAAACAACATACACAAACATCGTCATAAAAACAAATATAATGATGATTTCCTTTAATTTAGGGGCCTGCAATGGGGCTCGAGAGAATCTGCTCCAGAGTAGCAGTGGAGTGGGCAGTTAACAGCAGTATCACATGTCCTGTTCTTACATATGTACATAAACACACAAAGACTTATTTCTGAAACAGAGAGAGCCTAAAGACTATGCAGGAAGCAGCATACAAATGCAGAACTTTAATTGTTGAGCTAATAGTTAGAATGAAGGCTAATTTGTCTGGGACCATGGAAAATCTGTTTCCAAGTCAATTTCCTCCCACATAAAGACACCATTCACTCAAGCAGAGACTGGATTCATATATCATGCTAAGCTATGGCTTGCTTAACCATGCCTTCCTGAATACATTTCTGCATTCATATCATATGCTAAGGTAAAATGAAATATAAACAAATTACATGTTAACAACTTAGCAGAGGGCTAAGCCAGAAAGTCCAGAAGATTTTTTTTTTATCCTCAATTGCTACTGCTGCAGCAAAGCAGAACTAGTAGTAAGAATGAAAGAGCAAAAATAAGTTTCCATTTCTCTCAAATGGATAACAGGTAAAGAGGCCTTGGAGCTCCTTCCTTTCCTCATTTGATCTCCTGTCCCCAATAAAATTGCCGCTGAAGCCCAGGAGCTTAAATTGTTCCATTTCCTACTTCATCCCCCTTTTAAAGCTGTCTAAATTGGCTGCTGTCACATTCTAACTATGAGTTGTGTGAACAGTCCTAATCTACCATTTGATATATTTTCATTGAGCCATAACCTCAAAATCCCTTTCCTAATTAGCCACTATCAACTGAAACCCCATCAACATATATGTGGAATCAGGATTCTTTACTCAACCTTCTCACTCTGCGCTTGATTACAATAACACATTTGCAGTTTATCTGCCTGTTCACTCTGCTTATAACAATCATTTAAAATTCTTCACAATCCTTTTATCTGTTTGTTTTGTTTTAACCATAATGAATAATCTGCTATAATCACAAACTTGGCCACTTCTGCGCTGATCTCTTTTAACTCCAGAAAGTTTCCTTTCTCTGACAGCCAGGTTGGTTTCTTCCTACAAGGGATTCCTGCATTGAGTTGCCAGCTGAAGGGTATATGGCACCCCTAGGCCACATTAACTGATGGTGCCACCTCCCGCCAAAGATTTGCATTTTTACAATGATTTGGAAGGAGAGATGGCATTGGTACCCCAGGCCAGTGTCTACCTGGCCTTACACTAAAGCTGGCCTGACCTTTGCATGCAGTGAATATAAATTAATTAATGGTCGCTACTTGAATACAAATGTTAAAAGAAAAAAATAATATAAGCAACTACAACTAAAAAAATAAAGATTAAGTAAATAAAAAGATGTTCACTTGATGGGAAAATAAAACAGACATCAGGCAAGTATTCTACAGATGAGAAAAAGCAGAAATGTGTTCTACAGATGAGAAAAGGAGAAAAGACCTATGTTTTAGCTACAGAATCAAAGAGCCAATGAAGATCCACCAATTATTTTAAGATATTAAGTACTTACATTTTAGTGTTTCTCCAGCATATGGAATATGCAATTTAAATCGATCACAGCTGGGCCCAAGAGTTAATGATGTGCAGCTACAGTTAAAAAAAAATAAACTGAGTTTTTATGATTATAGGTGCTACTCATATATTTTAGCTACATAAAGTAATTACTGTATGTTATGTACTTTACTGGGTTTTTAAGTACTTTCTACTACTATATATATCTACTACTTGTTTTGGTCTGTTAGCATTAGGGATGAAAAAGCGGAGTACAAATTGGCAGATTGTGCAAAGCAAAATAAATCAGGATGAGCCCATCTCCTCAAAAGTACTCAAGCAGCTGCAATTACAGCTGCTTCAAAAGGTTTCCCCATCTGTAGTATATGCATGGTCAAAATTTCTGGTGGGACCACACTCACAATTGTGTACAGACAGAGATAGGCTTTGAAAAACCCATGCTGACCATCGCAGAGGATGCAGCTGTTTTAATGCTCGAGGAAGAATGCTTTGTTCATTAACCTCACAAAGCATCTCTTTCAAATGCTCTGCATAACCCAACAAATTGCAAATATGCAAACTACTGCATTTTATTTCTTTTAATTCTATAACAATGCATATATTTTCATTTATTATTATGTTTATCATCATTATTATTCTATTATTTTAGATCCTACAACAATAGCAGCACATACACTGGCTCAAATGAGTTTGATTACTTTGTAAAGTTGGTACACTGGTTTGCTTTGTCTTTGAGCTTGAACTAACTCACAAAACAGGCAAGAAAAAGTTTCTTGGAAGTTTAAGTATAGTTTTGTCATACATTTTTACTGTAAATAGTAATACCTTTTACAGATAAAATATTGATGATAATAAGCTTTCATTTGGATTTATTAAAAATTGTTTTAACTGTTAACCATCTGTATCACTTGATATGTTTGCTAATCACATAAAAGACTCTAATTTTTTGTAGCACATACACTGTGACTGGTCCATGTAGTCTTTTGGGAACCACCTAGAGTTGCAAGAAAAAGTATGTGAACCTTTTGGAATTTCATGGTGTTCTGCATTAATTTGTCATAAAACGTGATCTGACCGTCATCTAAGTCAAGAGTATTGACAAATATAATGGGCCTAAAATAATAACACAAAAACAATTCTGATCCTTCATGTCTTTATTGAGAACAACCATAAAAACCTCATAGTGCTAGTGGAAAAAGTATGTGAACCTTTTGGAATTTCATGGTGTTCTGCATTAATTTGTCATAAAACGTGATCTGACCGTCATCTAAGTCAAGAGTATTGACAAATATAATGGGCCTAAAATAATAACACAAAAACAATTCTGATCCTTCATGTCTTTATTGAGAACAACCATAAAAACCTCATAGTGCTAGTGGAAAAAGTATGTGAACCCCTGGAATCAATAACTGGTCCCTCCATGGCAGCAATAACCTCAACCAGGCGCTTCCTGTAGCTGTGGATCAGAGCTGCACATCGTTCAGGAGGGATTTTAGCCCA